GTTGCCCATTCAAATCTCTAGACAGGCTGAAGGTCCGCGTGGTGAATGAGAGTATGCCTCAACTAATTCCAAAAGTTAACATTTAGACCCCATTTACACGGGAGCGCAAACGCAAATGGACCGAATTCGTTATCAAAAAAGTCTTCCGTTCACACGAATTCGGCTCATTTAACGTGTCCGTTCACACGAGACCACTGGAAACGCTGTAGTACATATGCCGGGCCTGTAAGTGGCGCTGTACTTCCGCACGAGACCGCTCGTAAGCGCTGAAGACGCTGTAGTACATATGCCGGGCCTGTAAGTGGCGCTGTACTTCTGCCACAAAATACACCAAAAGCAACGAAGAAGACCCCCGAGCATGGTTGCCCTTCTGTTTAAGCCCCGCGGTAGATTTAGCAACATGTAGTTCATGTAATTCTCCATGTCCACTTGTTGCTGATGGTTGTTGTAAAGGAGCTGTAGATTTTGCACTAACATCTGTAGCATGGTCGAGCTGTAGATTTTGCACTAACATCTGTAGCATGGTCAGTAGCAGTAGCACTAGCAGTAGCTACTGACAGTAGCTACTGACAGTAGCTACTGACCATGCTAAAGCAGTGAGCAGCAGAGGTGGGGCTATGGCGTCATCGTTATCAGGAAATAATCGTATAGGGCGTACACACTGAGCCGTTTGGCCCCCCAGAGCGTTCCGTTTGCAGATCTATCCACCTTGGTACCCGTTATCGTTTGCGGGGTCCGTTTCCGCGGTTCCGTTACGGCAGGGGTCTCAAACTCAAGGCCCGGGGGCCAAATCCGGCCCGCGACTTCATTTTATGTGGCCCCGCAAGAGCTTGCAAAGAATATAATACGTTTATTATACGGTTACATGCCACTTTACAGAAGCAGGTTGCCCATAAACTACATGTCCCACAATGCATCTCGTTTTGTGACATGCGCACTGAAGAGACTTGCAATTATTTGCCCTGGACTTCTGCTTTTAGATGTAGTTAATTACTAAGTTATTATCCTATCCGATAATAATCCAATTCAGAGGCAATAATGTAATATAATACATTATTTTATATATATTTATAGTTACAACCGGCCGTTTGAGTGCAACCTTTATGCGAATGTGGCCCGCGATGAAATTGAGTTTGACACCCCTGCGTTACGGCCTCGTGTGAACGAACGGGCTATAGGCGAGAGAAAAGTAGCAGATACAACCCGTTTCGTTCTCGTGTAAACACCGCTTTAGTAAGGCAGTACAGTTAAACTATCCCTGCTCTGGTAGCTGCAGTGGCTAAATAAAGCCCAGAGAGGTTCCTCTGTGTGAAGGTGAACAATGTTTAACATTGTGTTGATGTTCAAACAATGCTGTCATGCGGTTAGTGGCCCTCTGAAGCTGTACTTAGGCAGAGTGGAGCTTTAAGCTAAATGTTAACATGCTGAGCGAATATAATGTTTTCCATGTTCCACTTATTAGTCCTAACCTTATAGAGGTAGATGTTATTATAACCATAACAAGGAAGATAACCTTAAAAAAGGGATTTAGTTACTATGGATATCTGAACAAAATTGAATGGCAGTCCATGCATCGCAGTACTTCTTAGAATAACGACATTAAATTCACACAAGGTCTTTAACTGATACCTACCAAGGCCTCTCCCTGCTAACATCTTTCCCCCCTCTTTTTTCCCCTGTCATCTCTGAATGTGACATGCTACCTGCCAATTAGATCTTGCTTTCTATCAAGTTGATAGGAGTGATGTAGGGATTCAGGTGGTGAAGCAGAGCCCTTGGGCGATGGCTCGGGTAAAATATGAGTTTCTTGCCAATCCTGATGAAATGCTGGAGTCGCCCGCTATGCTGCATGCCCTCCTTGCCGTCGTATATCACCCAGCTCTGCCATATCCTCTCCGACAGGTTCAGTAAATCTCTCGCTGTTTTTACTTTTTAAGCTGTTACTCATTGCTTATCTTGAGTCATCATCCCAAGGCAGGCTGTAGAAGAACATTGTGGACATCGTGCCTGCTGCTGTTAAGCCAAGTGATGTAACTTTAATTACAACTATCCAATGCGATATTTCTTGTGATACCTCTTTGGATGATAGAGCATAGCAAAAGATTCATTCAGAATGCTTTCATACTTATTACAAATGTATGTTAATTGCTTGTGCTGGCATGAAATGACATGTAACTGACAGCAGGAAGTGCAAGCTTTAAGTAATAAAACAAAACCCTGAAAAAATTCCGCAACATACCACTTTTATTTAAACTAGTCTCCCTCTCTGTGTACTACAGTATGTCCATGCATTCAAATGTGTCGACGAGTTCACTCAAATCCCCAAGGCACAGTGTATGTTTGCGTGTCTGCGAGAAAAAAGGAGGTATCAGCAGCATTAATCTAATTATCCTGACACTAAGTGAAGTGCACAAAGGGATTATGGAGGTTAAGTACTGCATTCCATTAGTGGTCTGACACTTATCACCCCAATCAATTCATTATCTATAATTATCCCCGATATCAGTGGAAAAGACCAACAAATTCTGCTGGAGTATAAGAACCCCCCCGAAACTGTGTGGTACTTTCAGTGTGTTGAATATAAAATGCTTGAATCCATGAAATAGCCTCATTTCCACACTCACAACAATTCACTTCCCCGGGATTCACAGCAGCAGGGGAGGCTGGGGATTAAGCTGAATTGTCACTAGGGTTTGTATCAGATGATCCGGGTATGAGAGTCAGAGTGAGTGGGAGGTGAAAAAAAATGCAAGTCGCCCTCAGGTGCAGAGGGGTCTACTTAGCACATGAATAATGTAATAGAATAGCTGGTGATTTATTCTACAGGAAACACAAGGTTTTGACAGAATGTTTTCAGACGGCCAGTGTTTGTAGGTGGCTGTGTGTTTTAACACTTCTGTAGCCTACATTGCTTTACGCTCGAGTGCACATTAGTGTCTGGATGCAGCCCTCTGAGTACATGCCATAGAATGTCTAAGTGTGAACTCTGTGCTAGTTGCTGGCTGCTGAGTTCATCACAGGTGAGGGCCGTGTGTGGGCTGCTGTCACCTGTCCTCCATCAGTCCTCCTCCCCTGCTTGTCCCCAAATCTCACAGCTGCTCATGTCATTCATTAATAGATGCCCTAGGGCCAACAAAAGCTCACAATCACCTTTTATTACTGTCAATTCACTCTCAGAGTCGTCAAGGTCAAATCTGCTTCACTGGCGCTCGACTGTCCAATATTTTTGTCATATACCTCATTCACACCAACGGTGTTTCAGGGCCGGTTCGGAGCTGGAGCTTGAAAAGCACCGGGTTTTCTTGTTCACACCGCAGCGGAGCAGCCTCTTAGCTCCGGAATCCGGTTCGTTTCAAGCACCAAAAAATTGTCCGGCTAGAGCAAAAGCACCGCATACGTCACGCTTACGTCGAGGCGGGGGCAGGGGCAGGGGCGGGATCAACTCCTGAACAACAACAAAAAGCCCGAGTTTTATCCAGTTTGTACACAACGATGGACAAACTTAACAAGCAGCAGTGGTCCACTGAAGAGACCAGCTACCTACTGGTCTTCCATTTCGTTTCGACAGAGCAAAACGAGTAGCGCTTCAACACAATCGGCCATTGTTGTTGTTGTCGGTGTGAGCTGTGAGGGGTTTCCGCGCGGTTTGGCTTTATGAAGCAGGCACGCAAACGGTTACGTCATGACGCAAACGATGACGCAATGACGCAGCACCAGTCGGACTCTGGGCGGTGTGAAAAGAGCCGGAGCTAAACCGAAGAACCGGTTCTGAACCTGAAAAGCTCTAGCACGGAGCTTGAACCGGAGTTGCGTTGGTGTGAATGAGGTAATAGAGAGCAAGTAGGAATGTGTGTTTGACTGAAAAACAGGAGGCTTGTGAAAAAGAGAAAGAGACAGAATGATAGAGAAGGAAGTAAGGAAGGGAAATTATAAAATGTCAGGAGAGCTGCCATGTGAACAGATGTAGTCTGTTCTCTGTCCTTGATTAACCGTGATGAGTATAGCTCCTGTGAGAATACAATATGTAAGTACAAATATAAAAGGCAATCCGTTTCCTTGGTAGAGTTTTAAATCACTGAATCATTGTCTATTTTATGGAAGGAAGTGATCTGTTTTTAAAGACAGTTGAACACTTAATAAAATGAAATGTCACATCTGCCACAAACTGAAGTTATTCTGAGTTTGATAAATCAACTTCAAAATAATATCTTGTACGATCCATTCTGCATTGTACTAAAGACATTACTATAAAACGTGTAACGTGGAGGTGTTTAATAAGTTTAAATGATTTAAGGGATTTAAAGGTTTATTTGTCAGCTGTGACATGCTCCTGGGGCTTGGTAAAATACTTGTTTTAAAAGAGAAATATGGGTACAGATGCAATAAACAAACATATAAAATGTTATTATGTGTAAAATGTCATAAATTCAAGGCTGACTATACAATAAAATGTCCACAAACAACAAAAACACAATGTGCATTCATACTGTATGTGTAGCGTTGCTGACTGTATTCTTCCACATTGCTTTTTCTATTTTAGTGCTTTATGTATTTGTGTAGCACTGGCGTATATCTCCTTGGCTGTTTTTTATTGACATGCCTCACACAAATGGCTCAGAGAAAAAAATGGGTAAATCCACACAAGAAATATAATTCACATTTACTTTAAGAATGTCTATTGAAGTTAACAGAAAACCGACAATCGAGTGTAGATCAGCAAGCATTTCATAAGTGTTATGTGTGCTATTGAGGTATTGGAGGAAAAAAACCAAAGGGGAATATACAGTAGGGTGGAGCTGTAAGAAGGGAGAGATACTGGGCCGAGCCTCTGTAGCCTGAGGGCACAGCAGAGCATAATCAGCTGATGGCCCTCCCATAACAGCCTATTGACTACTGAGGTTGCCTTCAAGACAGTGCGCAGGGCGTCACACATTCATGTGATTGGCTTCAGACCGTTGATGTAATGATGATCATGTAAGATCAGTTTGGCATTGAGCTATCTGTTATATATGCTCTGGGAAAGTCAGGATTGTTCTTCCAACTGCAGTGTGCAAAGTGAGTACTCTTTCATTTTTATGTCAGCCTTTATTTGATGTGTAAAAACAGGATCATTACAATAACTCTGCACATTGTTTTCTCTATAAAATGTACTTTTGAGTACAAACAAAAAGCAATTTATTCTTCCAAATTGTTTCAAACATCTGGTATACTACTGCTATCTTTATTTATTTATTTGTGAACTTTGTTTTTTATTGAGTTTTAGAATGAAAAAGAACAGACATAAAACAAAATGGGTCTTACTGTAGAGGTGTATTTCAAAATTACATATAAAATGTTTAAAAGACTGCAAAGCTTTAAAGTTTGTACTATGAAACCGTTACACAGAGCCAGTATCAAATGTTCTATACACTATATGTTCTATACAAAATGTCTCCCTGTTTGAGTACTTGGCTGTGTTTCAATAGTGAGAGGTGAGTAAGGGTCAGTGCACACAGATGTCCAGGGAAGGGAACAACAGATAGGTAACACCGAGCAACCTTTCATTGGCCTAAATTCAACTCTGATGTAAAGGGGTATGTTGCAAGCCTCAGATAAAAACAAGCCTCAGATAATACAAATGAAAGAGGTACACACAAGTAGGAAAACTGAGTAATTTCAAAATCAAATCCCGTCCTGTATTAAGAGTAGCCAGTTTATCCAATGATCAGCAAATGTATCCATTAAGTTTCAAAGAAGAGTCAACATTTCCATACTACAAGTTTAATTTTCAAGCCCTATTCACTGTATTGTTGTTTGACGTTCTAAAATCTTCCCTTTTCTTTTTCAAATGGTGCGAGCAGTGTTTGGAGAAGATTCTTTGAGTACAAATATTGCTAAGAGATAATGAATCATCTCTTAGACAATTATTGACCTTATCTCTGCTACTCCACCCAGGAATATGGGTGAAATTACATCACTACTGCATTCTCTGAAACAGAGATTCAGAGGGATCATTGCCCAGCAGTTCACTTTCTCTGAATGAGGAGTTCCCCTAATAGTGATTGAAGAGGTAAGTCGTGTTGGCGGCTCTTATCCAAATGTTTCCATCTTTCCAAACATATTTGGCCTTTCCATATAAATCCAGAAATCATTATTTTCCTCTCATTATTAAGTTGTTATATTCTGTTCAGAAACTTGGGTGTTTGGTAGCACTGTTGTCATAATTAAATCAGTGTTTACTCATTCATGTTGCATTGCTCATTATCCTTGCTTACCACCGTCTCTATCCTGAAGGCCCCGTGACAAGTAGTCCTGAGAAAGAGCGTCTCTGTTGAATTACAAGCCCAGAAGAGGGACAAACATGCTTCTTTAGTGTTCTGAGAATTTTGTTTTTGTGTTAACAGAGAATAACTCGGTTGGAAGTGGCATTTGAGGTTAAAGACTTTTTTGAAGGGTAGAATTGCTGTTCAGGCTGACTTCATTCCTTGTCTTATGCATGTTGGAGATGACGGAGCAGGCTGGAGTAAAGGCCTCAGGGATCAAAGTATGACATCAAGCATTTTATCTAAAGTTAAGACAAACTGTTCACAGAGACATCCGCAAATACTGCAAGAACTTTTAACTCAACTTGAGCTAGCAGGAAACTTGTACAATTCTGACAGGCTGACAGTCAATTATAAGCATCTTCTTCTCCACAGAGTTTATTTTTTGTATATAGAGCCGCAATTCCAATTCTAGACTTGAAAAGGAGTCCATTTTTCCAGACAGTGATTTCTTCCAATAACTCGTCTCCCCTTGTCTGTGTGTATTTTTAACAGGCAGACCCATGGGGTTACAGTCTTGCAAACCTTGCAACTCCTGCCTGCAAAGTAAGGAGGACTGCAGAGCGGCTGGTGGCTGGTCGTGTGTGTGTGACGACTGGAGATATTGCTCTGAACACTGCTGTGACATCTGCTGCCAGATGTGTGTGGACGTGTGCTCTGGCTTATGTTCAGGGGACTGCAGCTATACCTTCTGTACTCTCTGCCTCGGCATGGCACAGAACTGTATCTCCTTTTTTACCACCCAAAAAACTGAATCATCAGAGTCACAACGTAAGTGTCCAATCAAAAACATAGCTTATATTCTGATTATCTACTTCAGCTAAACAAATGTTAACCTAAATGTTTTCATCTGCTTTAGAGGCTATGATGGATCCAGTACAGCGTGCCTTTTGAACTTGACGGACCAGTGACCAAACCCAAAATGTGGATTGATTTGAAAACACAATGCAAGTAAATTCAGCTACATAGCATTTGTTTATAAATTTTAAAAAATAAAGGTTGATGACATGGTGTAGGGTTTCGCTGCAACTGGGTCTTTTTCTTTCATGAAAAAGGAGATTTTAGTTGCACTGTAACTAAATGAGGTTTTTCATTGAACTATTTAATCCACATTGACCTCTAAAAATCCTGCCAAGCGTACTATGGACTGGATCCAGCCATTGTTATTGTTTGCTTCCAAGTGCATTTCAGTGATAGTCTAAGTGCATTTCAGTGGTAAAGGGATTTCTGATCCCAAGACAGAACCGCATTTGAAGACAAAACAATAATCAACCGTTATCATACAAGGGTCAAAACAGGCCTCTGTATAGAGCATGTGTGTATTAAAGTATGAATGCATGTGTGTCAATGTGTTCGGAGGATAATTGTAAAGCTCTTTGTCCCATAGGGTTGAAAGGCACTATATAAATGCAGTCAATTTAAAATGTACCATGTCTTCTCAAGTGATATTCAGTTGAGAGGACATTTAAACCTCTCAATCACTCATCGTTTTTGGTTTAAGGGTGTGCATGTTTCTGTTTGAGAAGAAAACTGAAAAGCACATCTTGTCGGGCTTGGATGACTAGTGTTGTGCTTGTACAATATGTACAGGCTGTTTCAGTGACTAAGGAGCAGCACTGTAGGGCAGAGAAAGTCTGCAAATAGGTTTTCTAGACGAGGAGATGGGGAAAATGTAATGGACGGAAGAAAATACTTAAGTGTAAAAAAAACTGTATTTTCCATTGCAGTAAAAGGAAAAGGTGTCTCGTAAATTAATAGTGCCACTGTGAAGAAAACAAAAAATGTTTTGTAAAATGAACGACCTTCAGCGTGTGATTCAACATGTTCGTCAGTGGAGCCTTTATAAATGGTGTCATAATCTTCAACAGGCAATTTTACTGCAATGAGGAGTTTGATCAAGGTACTAGGACACGAGGCACCGTCACCATAGATTAAAGCATGTAATGGTTAAATCAAGCAATAAAGTATATGTTAAACAGGACTTGCATTTAACTTAATTCATGTAACAAAAAAACAAAGACTATACAGTTGGCAACTCATGCGATTACAGTATAATAGAAACAAGCCAGCATTACCGTGTCAATGAAAAATGATGAGCATAGTTTGGAGAGAAGGTAGATTAATCATAGTGAGAAAGCAGATTTGAGCTGCAAGGCCATTTAACAAAAGCAGATGAGAAGAATTGAGAGTGTCATTGGTTCATATGAAAGGTTGAAATAAACTTCAGTCACACAAATGGCCTGTCAGAAATCTATACTTTTAACAAATACCATATTTATAAAGGTATTTCCTTTTGATATTAACTAGATGTTTTTCCTTCAGAAAACGGATTTGAAAGTATGTTGTATTGTGGAGCATGCTTAATGTACTTACCAGGATCCCCTATGCAATTGGAAGCAATAACAGCAACACAAACAAACAATCTTCAACCTTTTACAATGACCATAAAATGATTCATACAGGCTGTTAGCAAAGATAAGATTTATTATTGCAGTGTTGGATTTTATGACGCAGTACAGGTGTACCTAATAAATTAATACCTACATAAGCCAGCGCCGTAAATCTGACAGTCAATTAAAGTGATTTATACATTTGTTTTTCTGATCAAGTTGCACTGAAAGTAAATCCATTATTCAGCATAATTTAACCACATTCATATGGTAATGTTGTACTGACAAAATAATGGCTGTTTTCTACAGGCAAAAACACCATATAGTCAATTTCAGCTTGCAGTGGCAGCATGAGATTCCTAGTTTGACCCACAACATGACCTGCAGACAACAGCATGGTCAGTGAGATCTTGATATCTCTCCTTTACAACAGATTGATTGACAGGCGAGTGTTGAATAAAGTCTGACTGCGTCCTTCCACAGCGGCTGTGGGGTCAAGCTATCTGCTGCTGCCTAATGATACCAGAGATGAAAGGCACACAGACTTTGACAACGGGTCTGAAAACAGCTCTCTGCACAGCGGCGGTGTTTGGATTTGTAAGTTCAGAGTTCATGAAATGTTTTGTGTTTGAACTGAAAACCAATAGCTAATAGGGTATTGAAGGATAACATATAAGTTTTGAATTCGTATGTTTTTCCTATTTTCAGAACAATGGACCTTTACAATAGGCTCAAGCTTATCGTCGCTATCATGGCTGAACAAAAGCTCTGCGAACAAAACCAGCCTTCCTGGGTCCCACCCCTGTGACGGCAGAGACGGTACCCTACTAATACTCCTGTTGCCACCTTTCATCTCATGTGGATGGATTTATTTCTTGTGTATCCGGATTTGTTTTGTTACAAAAAGGACAACCATTTCACGTGTGTTTTTCACTATACTCTTAGAGAGACAAACAGTATTCCCTACCCCTCAACTAAGCAGAAGCGATGCATTTTTCAACTCTCGAGGATTAAACTGGCCTCATCCTGGCATACAAGCGGTACTTCAAAGCACTCGTTGGATGTCTGCAAGATTGTTTTGCACTTTGAGGCAAACAAAAATATAATTTGGCTGCACACAGCGAACAATCTGATATCACTTCTGTGAAATACGGGCGCCTCAGGACACAAGGTGCTATTTGCTTCCACTGAATTAGACCTTTTTATTATCCTCCATAAAATTGCGAGTTTATGGATGTTTTAAATGATTGAGTGAGCAATGTCTCTGCATCAAAAGACACTTAGAACGAGCTCTTGCGAGGAAAATCCAACAACACAGTAGACTGTGCCCGTCTGTGCTTTTGTTTTATTTTCCTCCAAATCCCTCTGGAGTTTGCAGTGCTTTCAGTTCAACTCAAATTCATATCCCTCTCAAACTCAGAGGATAAGCCGTGTGGCCTAGTTTACTCCTTGAACTGACCTTATCCTGCTGGAAGTTTGCGTGTCTATATTTTTATCTACAGTAAGTCCTGTGAGTCCAAAACAATTTGTATATACTTCACTCACCTTGATTGATCGGCTGAGTGTGGTTTCTTTGTATGGATTTTTCTTTTTTTTTCAACATTTCTAGAGTAAGGGATAGAACGAGTGAAGTCTTATTTAATAGCAGAAGTCCAGTAGGAGCTCTGTGATTTAATATACTGTCCACAAATGTTTCATTGAGGTTTCATAGGGTACTTAATTACAAAGAAAAAGCTGATATGTTGTGAATGTACTGTATATACTGGGTTGAGTCCTCCTTTGTGTGGAATTACAAACTAATGACACCATAACAAGTTCAGCAAAAACACGTCGGTTTGCTATCTTGGCTCCAAAATGGTGGAATGAGCTCCCCATTGAAATCAGGACAGCAGAAAGCTTACACATCTCCCGGCGCAGACTGAAAACTCATCTCTTTCGACTCCACTTCGAGCAATAAAATGAAAAAAAAAAAAAAAAAAAAACGCACTAACTAAGCACTTACATACTAACTAAGCACTTACATACTAACTAAGCACTTACATACTAACAAAGGACCGGCTTATCTAAAGCCTGTTGAGTATCACTTGAAATGTTTTGTCTCTATGAAACCTGATGTACTTATATGATTCTGTTTTCTTCAAGTTTGTATCTTCTTGGTCGAATGCACTTATTGTAAGTCGCTTTGGATAAAAGCGTCAGCTAAATGAAATGTAATGTAATAACTTTAAATACATTGTCTAATGGGGCTTGTCTTGAGAAATGTGTTCATTGACAACTACCAGAATGTGGGCGCACACAATGGTAACGGTAATAGAAAGTGAGGACGAGGCCCCAAATGACTGAGGATCTACCTCAAAAATGTGTATTAGGAAGAACAAAATGTAGGTTTTGGGGGGATTTTTTCCCACCTTTGCTGTCTTTCATCTTTTTCCCTCTTTCTTATCTCTTTGTGGCTGAGTGCATTTCTCTCCCCCTGCTCGCTGTCTGTGTTCTCCTCTCATGAATTGCATTGCTTTTACTGAATTTCTTCTGGTTAGGTGTGGAGAAAGTCATTGTGTGCTGCTGTCACTCAACTAGATTACACCTCTGGAGGATCCTTATTGCTAACCCTCCAAAAATAAGTAGGTGTCTTCTAACTTTGCCGGCCAAAAATATCTGAAGATGTCTGTTTCCCCCCCCCCCCCCCGTTTTGGGAGGTTGTGGTACAAAAAAAAACATGAGAGAAAAGATTTGGAAGACTAAATCTGAATTTGATTCAACAAAGCTTCTATCAACAAATACTCACACACTTGTAACCTTGTAGATGTAGAGATCTAAAAAAGCAAAAGATAAAGAGACGCGTGTCATTCAAAGATGAAATCCCCCCTCATTTTATTTGTTCTGTAGCCTTGTATTTTTTCCACATCAGTTCTAGTCACATGTCAACATTCCCCCTGAGCTGTCAGCTTATTTAGTTTGTTGCCTTGTTATGTTTATAGTGTTTTGATGGCTAAAAGGTATACCTACTGCTGTGAGAGGCTTTGCTCCATCATTAGCACAATAGACACACAATGCTTGCTGCATGGAGAGTGATCTCAACATAGAACAGCCTATTGCTTCTCATCTGTCCAAATCAAACCGGCTGACTCATCTAAAAGAAACGACATGAAGAGCCTGCCTCTTTCACTCCTAAAATTGTTTAGATCTTTAAAATGTCTCGACTTGCAACTCTGACCATGACAAATTGGGAGCACCTGGAACACTCCATCTGTGAAGTGAAGCAAGTAGTGGCTTAAAAAGTTTAAAAAAAAAGGGCAATGGTGTGTGTCCAATCTCAGTTTCGATAGAGTGGAGGTGGGTTAGTGCATGGTCCGTCTCTTTTTGCCCTCCTGCCGTGTGTCAGGTTTTGAGATTTTTGGAGATGTGCAGGTAAGGCCTGCTAGGAGCACTGCAGTTTGGTGAGGTGGGGGGCAATTCTTTTTTTAGTGAGATTGGATTTTATTTTTGTCCACTCTGAGACCTCCATCTTATCCTGCAGCCCAGTTCTCCCACTCCATTTTCATCTCACCGTGCGAAAATTGAAAGTGATATAAAGATGTGAGCTAGAGATGGAGAAGACAGTTAGAGATGCTAAAAAAAAGGAGGGCAAGGGAATGGCAATAGATGCACAGGGAGATATAGTGGAGAGTGAGATGGAGGGCGGACAAGGTGGCAGGACAGATTTCAGCATTTCCAGTGCACAGCAGAAAATGTCCGACCAGATTTCTCATGATAGATTTTACTCATGTGGAGAAACAAACTATGTACCTATCACCTATGTGGGTTATTCACTTCAGTTTGCTTCTAGCTTCAAAGTATAAACTTCTGAATTGTCATGCACACAAAACCAGCAGTTTATAAAAATGGTATACAGGGTGTTTGAGTAAAAGGTATTATAATCAGTTAAAAATCTATAAAGCCCTGCCTACTCTCCTCTCAAGTGAAAAGTCAGACACCCTCATAAATAGTGACAGAGACATCGCTCATCTTGGATGCATTACACGTTAGCATTTGATAACAGCGCCTTCTAACAAATCCTCTGTACTCCAAATGCATTCCAAAAACTCTTCAGAGTCCACAATGGAAAGTATTTAACAGATTCACCAGCATGCATAAAAAGAGGAGAAAATCATTAGCTAAAAAGAGGGAGAAATCAATGAATAGAAAAAGGCCCTAATAGCGATGGTGGCACGGTTGTGTTCAGTCGGTTTGCATTCATAATTTATAGGTCGACAGCCCATTAGACAGCGTTAAAAGGAAATCAGATTCTGGCCTTCCTCCAAAGGCATTAGGCGATGGGGTCAGACCGAAAAAACAAACTGGTAATTGACCAATAGATTCAGGTAAATTGTTGGTCCCTTGAAGGAACAACAATTTGGTTAATTGCATTTTTAACAGTGGGTGGGTTTTTGGTTTGTAGGTGTATTATGAACTGAACATAGTGTAATGGGCCAAGCAATATTACTTCCACTTCTTTAAACACATGTCCTCCAAGCTTAAATGGAAACATCCCAGCGATGCAGAATCAGGTGCTTCAACGTTGCATTGGGAGAAATCGAGAAGCTATAAATATGTAAAATAAAAAATATGCTTTTGCACATGATTTGAAAGATGGATAACTGGGGTTTATACGTTCTGCTTGTATAAAGGGTCAGAGTTCGCTCAGCGAGACAAAAAACGTTAGTCCAGTGAATACTAACAAACCCTCAAGAGCCACCTGTCAGTCACACTAATGGACACTAACAATAGTAAGGTCAATGGCGTTTCTTGTCTGAGTGTGAATTTCTCAGTTGCGTCTGCTTCTAGCATGTTGAGTGTGGATTGCTAAACAGACTGGACCGTTCTGTTGCTGGAAAGCTTCTTGCAAAGGATCAAGTGCTATCTTTTTTATTGCAGCATATATTCTTAAAATCAACGTGCATTTAAACAAATTATCTCTGCAGGTGCCGTGATTAATTCTCCTTTTTGATTAGCCCTTACCCAAATAGAAAATAAAATGATTGTAAATGTTTGAACAAACATGTCAATAAATTAATGAAAGCCTACTAGAGCTTCTACAGCAATAAGCTTTATTGTTCACAAAGGGCTGTCCCCTTGTCATATTTTAGTACACAATTATTGTATTCAAAATATAAAAAATAATATTGATATCAGCCAACTCTGCTGTGCATTTTGTCTCTCTTTTTGTCAAATTAATTACACAAAAAAAACAAGTCAAGGGAGGTGAAGAGAGAGAATGTCTGTTAACATTACTGTATAAAAGGCGTATAAATATTATCAGATGAATTATTAACATGTATCGATATTTATTCACAATTAATTCACAATTTTCGTCAATGTCGGTATATTGCAACAAGCCTATTTTCACATGAAAAAAAAAACGGGATATGGTTTGCTTTTATTAAAGTATAAGAAATTTCAAGAGATTGAGTCAGTTTTTAACTGTAGCTTTCCTTCAGTCTGTGAAAGACAGTTAGTATGCTGAACACATCCACCAACAGCTGCAGACAATGGCTTGTTCACAACACATGCCAGTCATGTTCCAAAGCCTTAAGTGAATTCCAGGCGTGGTGCCACTGGCCTGAATAGAAACCTGACCTCACAGTAATGTGTAGGCTTCAATTTGATCACGGCAAAAAGCCCAGGCTAGGGAAATCTGATCTGCCGGTAACGCACCTTTACAGCCTTGGCTCTCTGACCCTCCGACAGTACCTCCTGGTCAAACATAAGCCAGCAGCCTGGTTAGGAAGGAGGAGGAGTAGAGGTGGAGGATGTGGATGTAGACCCCTCGACCCTGCAGGGGGGACTTTCAACAGTGGAAGAGACCTGCTGCTCAGTTACAGTGATGAACGACTTTGCCTACCCTCTGATAATTGCTCACTCAGGGGCAGAGAGAGGTCCATTAATCAAAATGAGCCTTGGTACTGCAGGAGTCCTCCACCTATGGCAGACTCCAGCATGCCTCAACAACCCTGGGGCAGACCCGGAAGGCATCAGCTTCAAAAGACTCTAGCTGGTCAGGACACTGTCATTCTGCGGTGACAG